GGACCAAAAATAATTCGTGTTTAAATTCTCTCTCTGGCTTATCGCACACGGACAAACCTTGTATACGGGAATGGTTATAATATTATGACCGAATCATTGTCCCTCTCCCCAAGTTTTTTTCCAGTGTTTTTCATTTTTACAATCTTCCACCTTACAAGGAAGTCATCGGATAGTGTTAGATTAGCAGTGATCCGCTGTAAACAGATGAAAAGTGTCCCTGTTAAATCGTGGGGTTTCCACCGTGCTATTCAACATACTAAGAGATGCTGAAAATATCTCATTTGCTGACCGGGTTTAAAAGGAGCTGGATAGTCGACACACACAGGATCATGAAAAGCGTTCGCTTCCTGTAAACATTCCCCCAATCCTGGATCGAATACACCAATTCGCGTTTTGTGATCTGATCCACCAAACTTTCAAAGTTTGGTTGATTTAGTCGCAGAACATTGCAACAACCCGGGTAGCATTAAATACTCGAAACACTGTATAGTTTGCTGAAAACATTTTATAAAACACCCTATGCATGCGAAATCCAATAAGGTTTTTCATATTAGAATTAGAATAATTCGAAAGAATTCTGCAGGACTACATACTCGGTTTCGCGGTCGTCGCCGCTCATTAGGTGTGCATATTTGGCATTCCTTTATCGAGTCATTTTTTGTAAATACTGGTATTCCCGATATACGTATATATATAAAGCAACATTTGGCGTCTCAGTAAACCGTATTGTTATTTTGATTGTAAACCGTTGTCGTTTATGCAAGTGACTCCTAAACTACTGTTCAATTTTGCACACGTGACCGTTATTTGTTCCATACTAAGTTATATCCGTCACCTTGTTACGTTTTGTGTGTTTGAGAGCAGACGCACAAATAGTCGTGAATGCTTCACACTCGCTATGCGCTTGAAGATTCAAGTCGTCATTGTGAATTTCCCGTACCAACTTCGTCTTTGGCATCGTAGTCATATCGAGGAATGATCAGCAGTGATTTAGAGACGGGAAACTGTTCTGCAATCAGTTGTGTTAATGAGAAGGAGAGAAAACGAATCGATTAAGTAGACTCTGCTGAGAGGCCGTTAGTTGCCATAATCTTCTCCCGTGATTTTTTGGTTTGGCAAGCAGTTACACTGACCTATGAACTATCGCGGCGAACTGTTCTGTTTCCCCAGACAGAGTCCTAGCCTTTGGTCACGCGTTTTCCATTGAAACAGTCTATCTCTCTCTCTCTCTCTCTCTCTCTCTCTCTATATATATATATATATATATATATATATATATATATATATTCCGTCTAACCTTTCCCTAATCAAACAGAACAATGAGATTAGACTTGGTATGAGAACAGCCCCATATTAATGGTCTTCAGATCCTCACATAATTGTTCTTTAACGCAGCAGTCTGCACAACATGGTGATTCTGACCAAATAGAACTAAACCCCTTTCTGAAAATTGTACCATTGTATATTCAATAAAAGAAAGTAAAATAAATAGAAAAAAGATTCAGGGGATCTGAACGAATACATATCTATCTAGACGTGTTTTGTTTCCGGATGTCATAGGATACTGTTTTGATTTGGTGATGCATGTTCGGATGTGATATACAGTCATTTGATCGATGAAGAAACATGTTGATCAGCATTATTTGTCAAATTTATTTTCTCTCCTATTCATTTTTCCCCGTTTGATTGTTACTGACTTGTTGGTACCGCTTGTCCTTCGCTAATGAAACTCTACAGGAGTTTTCCAATTCTCATGTGAACGTTTCTAGATGATGACTCCGCTTCATTGGGCTGCTGATCGTGGGCTTGAAGACATTGTCTCCGTCCTACTTATTCATTCGGCCGACCTGAATGCACAGGACGAACAAGATCAGACTCCACTGCATTACGGTAGGCTAAAATAATGTGAATGACATTGAAAACCACTCCAATCCCTATTTCAGCTTGTTCCTGTGGTCATATATCATTGGCTAGACTGCTGTATAAGGCTGGAGCTAATATCTCTATCACCGATCAAGACGGTCAGAATCCAATCGATTTGTTAGAAGAAGATCAACGGGAATCGGTTTTGGCCTGACCGAAGGGTATTGATGATGGGGACGATAATGGTGGGAAGAGCCCCTTGTCCGTGTAGTTCACATGCTGATTCTGTTGCGGAGGCGCAGGGCAGTGGATTGGAATTCCTCATCACGAGCACAGACTTGATGCTGTGTGAAAGCTAGTCAACAATACGTCGGCAATCGCTTGCTTGTTGCTGTTCTATGTTAACCGTTTCCTCGCATCTGGTTGCTGTGTGTGTACATATGACTGCCTCCGAACGGACGGACCCTCTGTTATTCCCTGTGTTAGCTTGGCACCAGTGGTGTGGTCTTCGTTTTCACCCACTATCCACTGCTCTAGATTGCATTTTTATAATGGTCTGTTGGATTTGGTGGTACTGTTCAATTGGCTTCTATAATAAATATACATGTACACTGTTGAAGCTGTTTCATCCAACCACATGGACCTCAAAACCCTGTGGTAGCTTGCACAGAAATGTATTGGGAATTATATATTATTAAAACAGGTTCGAACACAAATTCTGTAGTGAAAGTATTTCTGATTACGGGAATGCTGCATTGCAGTGAATTAACGGTTCCCGAATAACGTTTATGGTTGATACCACTACATCTGACCCTAATTATTGTAAAGAAATCAAGTAAGCGTAGACTTGTCGTTCAGTGAACTTCAACAAGTGGTGCAATGCGGTTTAAGCCTAACCAGACGACAGTTACCGATTATCCCTGGTCTTCTAAATCATTCGTCGCCACGGTGTGATAAAGACCAATGATAGTCAAGTCAGGTCACGGGAAAAATCGGTTTTCCTTCTTTTTTACACTTACAGTGGACTAAGAGTTTAACCGCGCGGTTCTAAGGTGACCATTCAATCGGTCTGGCAATCGTGTGTTTCGAGTTCCATCGAAGCCTCCTAACATCTTCGCTTTTTCTTGTCCCTTGATGGCTTTGAATGGTTCACTTCTCCGTTCTTGATAATTAGGTTTAGAATTGCAAATACTCGATCCAGACTTTCAGTTTTTGATTGTGGTTTGAGCTTTCGATCGTGGATTTGTGAACAACAGAAGGCGCTGATGGCATACTAAAGATGATAGAGAATACACCACCTGACAGGATCAAAGCAAGGTTAAATGGCATCTGCAATGTGAGCTCACAAAAAGCCTCAAGGAAAACTGTGATTATTGATGGGCAACAATAGCTAGTGGAATGGAATTAGAAGCTGGTTCAGGAAATAGTCAAAGACTGTTTCAACTGATAGGTAACACCGGAGGTCGACAACCCCCTAGTTAGTCAAACGATCTGCGACGAAAACGAACAAGCTATTCATGATAGGAAACAACGGCTTGAGTGGCGGGTAAAGTATTTTAAAAAACAGTATAGCTGACCTAGCACTATCTCGTCTGTTGAGGCTGAAGCTCCGTGGACAGTGTCATGTGATCCTCCAGTTGAAACAGAAGTTCAATCTTGTAGTCGAGCTTTGAACAGAAGGAAAGCGGCAAGGCCGGACGGGCTTCCTCTTACTCTTTTCAAAGTAAGATCTATTATTGATTTACTGCGTAACATCTGATTTCATTCCACCATCTTGGAGCCAGTCCCTGATCGTTTCAGAAACTGCTTGAACCCATGCGAGATAACTTTGTTCTCAGTCGTCAGCAAAGTGTTAGCCTCCGTCTTACTTCGGCGTTTGACACCTATAGGGAAAATTATCATGCGTGAACAGCAAGCTGGAGTCTGGCATTATCGAGGATGTATTCAGTTCAGTTTTTACAACTAATAACCCAGCACTTTCGTGCGCAGGATTTGGTTGTTGTCTTTTGGCCGTCTATTTGGATGAAAGATCAGAATGGGGATTAGATTGTTGCGAGCGAATTCAAAGGTTGGATGGTTGATAAAGACTCACGTTGCAAGAGTAATAAGTTGATGCACGAGCGCCATTGTTTGTGACACGCGGTCATAGCACACAGTGTCTCTAATCAACAGTTACCATGGTCCCGGTGTCGTCATCCAGGTATCGAGGATGTATTGGTCAAATATGTCAATATAATATCCAATAATGATACATTTACTAGCTGCATCACACCCACCGTCGTACAGCGATTTTCTGACCTAAAGGGAGCCTCCGAATCAGTTGACCGCGAAACTCTAATGGGTTTGCTTCTTCAAAAAGGAATGCTCCAGAAGTACGGCAAATCACTGAGGTCACTGTGCTCATATAATTCTGGTCAAGTGAAGCTCTAACAAACTAAGTGGATCGTTTGTCACTAGCAGCAGCGTTCTTCAAGGGTATGGAATAGTCATGCTTTGAAACGGTAGATTACTTCTCTTACCTGGATAGTTGCGTTACCAATGATGGTAGCACAGTAAAGGAGGTAATCACACGCATTTCCGGAGCTCAACAAACGTACACAAGACTGAAACACCTCTGTTACAAACACGACATTTCACTGAGATCGAAAGGTCGTGTACATTGTACTACCATTTTTCAGTTCTGCTTTATGATCGTCATTCCGCTAGTAGAGGAAATCGATGTACTAGAAGTTGGGAACTATCGGTACCTTCGTTGTTCGGTTCGCGTGGGATGATCGAACGCGTTGGTAATCTGAAGTTAAGCCATCGTGTGTTTTAGAGTTTGTTATGGATAAATCTACAAGCGCATCGAATTCAAATTAGTCGGCTGCACTGGTTAGGGCACGTATTTCGTGTGTACCTGGTTATCATCTACCGCGCTTTATTGGGTATAACCACTGGGGATGGAAACAGATGATGTAGGGACGAGACATGATGAAATCAACAGCGGTAGTAGGTAGCGTAGGTGTCTTTCACCTTCCAGTTTGGTGTTCAGATTCTGTAACTGGTGGGTTGGAAACAATGAAGGATACGGCAGAGAACCGACAGCGGTGGCGTTCTTGTCATCTCTTACCAGGCCAGTATGCTTGAAAAGGTATGTTTGCACATTTAAATCGTATACTCCGTATGTTGATCATAGAGGTTCNTGTCCTCCTCCCCCCCCCCCCTGAATACCGACCCAGTCCCTGTCCACCTTACATATTCTCACCAACTTTGTATGGCTTTCAAAAGCAAGAAAACTTCACCATGTGTCGCTACATAAGCGATTTGAAAATCTTCACGTGACCCATGCTGAGGTGCGAAATCAAATAAAATTGGGTCTCAACTTCAACCTCATGCGGTTTGGCTGCGTTTATTCTCTCCCCGACGGTGGGTACTAAAATAATCACATTTTGTCATCAGAAATCAAACTTTCCTCTGAGACTTCTTGCAGTCTGAATTTTAAACGGATTGGGATCAGTTTTGTGTCATCTCTCTATCGCCGCTCTCACACTCCAGATTCCGGACAAATGACTGAACTTTGATCCATCCCATATTTACCACACGTTTCTCCCCTTCCCAAACCACGTTTTGTTTGGCACTACCAATAAAGGTTTGCACTGTTTGCAATTATCTTTCAACTGGGATTGTTGGGATACGCATTGTGAAACCAGATTCGGTACTAGTTTGGCTAGACACAAAACTTTTCAATTTTGATTTACCAACTCTGACCTGAGGATTGGTTGGCCTCTCGGATGTCCCTAATACTGACAGCCGACTTATGGTGACTGACCTGCAAGAGTGCCGCAGCGAGATACTCCTGTTCGCGTTTCAGTTAAGATTAAAATATGCAGGTTGGAGACCCAATCGATCCGTATTCGTTCTGATCGCAGTACTCAAGGTCTTCAATTGACAACTTCATCCACGGTAGGGTGGGGAAGCTAAAATCTGAGGCGAGTTCAGGCCTTCGGAGCTCGTGGCCGAACCAGTGAAGACGTTAAAGTGGCCGCAGCAGCGCGATCAAACCTCTTCGTTGGAAAGCCGATCTCTCCAATTCACTTTCGAGTTGCGACGTAAGCACCAACGGCAGAGGACCTCTAACTTCTTTGTATATTTTACTCTTATTGGCCATGTATCACAAACATAAATAAGAATGAAGTGGATGAAGGCCTGGTAAACACGAAGCTTCGTATGGAGGTTTATTTTGCAGCAGTCGCACAACGGTCTGAGGAGTTGTAAGAAGGCTCTTCTTGCTCCATTAGCACGTAGTTCGATTTCATCCTTAGCCTGACCGATTTGTTTGATTGCAAACTTGGGTTGATTCGGTACGCTGTCTGTTGATTGAGAGGGGTCGTGCCGGAGGAATGTTTTCGGTAGCAAACGTATTGGGTTGATTTCGCGAAGATATTCAAAGTGAATTTCTCCCATGATGCCCACTCTTGGTTTTCGGGAAATTGATGGTTTCTTTACTTAACTTTACCGCGATGATGATGTTTTGTGGAACCGAAAACAACACAATTGTAGCCAGCGAAGTTCTCAAATCGATTCTGCATTCGATCCAGAACCGTCGATTGTCTTGGTATCAACGTCGCATAGTAATGCTGGCTTTGCTAATCGCTTACAAGTTCTGACTGTAGAAAAAGTTAAATGGTCTAACGGTGAATGCACACGTCTTCGGACATTCTCGTCTGATTCGCTCTTGTCTTTCTCTGTTTCCGATCCACCAGTTTCTTGGCCTCTAAAAAGATCACCAACCGATACTGTTATTCTTGACCTGAATCAGGGGAAGTTATCCGCACTCGGAGTCGCAAATCTGTTTGAAATTGAAGGATCTCTACAAGTGGTTTTGCGTTGTATGTTGTATGTAGTTCTCTTCTCTCAAAACCCAGGGCTTTAGTATGACAACAAACTAAAATAAATTGAAACAGACAAGCATAAGGGAGTAAAAGGGTAAAAGGACCAAGTCACGAGTGTCAGGACAATTTAGCATAAATTTTTTTTTGACTCACAACGGGTATCGATCGATTCTGCAAACCTTAGCAATCTTGTGAATGGTGACTTGTAGTTAATCAGAAACGCCATGCATCATTGGATCCGGTGTTACGTCATCAGGAGATATCGAACTAATGAGGGGTTTTCTAGTTTCACAGGTCCTGTCCTTGACCCTGTCATCTGACTTTGGATTCAATTTGGAAT